CTGATGACATGGCGAGTTTGGTCCCCATGAGCGACATGAGCTCCTTCCAGAATTTACTCGTGAATTTCGGGTCTCTGTCGGAGATCAGCGTGGTTGGAATGCCATGTTGCGAGATGACGTAGCGGAAGAATATTTGCGCTGTCTCCTCAACGCGAGCCGTTGTGTGTGTCGGAATGAAGTGTCCCATTTTGGAGAATTTGTCGATGACGACTAGAATGGCGTCGTAACCAGCTTTGGTAGGTGGTAACCCGGTGATGAAGTCGAGGCTAACCACTTGCCAAGGCTGTTCAGGGACTGGAAGAGGCTGTAGTAATCCTGCTTTCTTCTGTTTGCTACTCTTCATCCGTTGGCATGTGTCGCACGAGGTGACGAATTTTTGTACGTCATCCGCCATGTGGGGCCAATAATAATGCTTCGCAATACCGGCAAGCGTCTTGTTACTACCGAAGTGGCCCGCGTAGAGAACATCATGATATTCTTCGAGCATTAACTGGCGTAAGGGAGGGTAATTAGGTACCCATATTTTTGTGGAGCCCTTGCGGTATGCGATGTCTTGATCCCAATGTAGAAGATGTCGCTTTTCTGCTACAGAGACTTCGGGGTCGATGGTGTATCCATGCGTGAAGAGTCCCTTCAGAAGTGGGTTCATGCCATCGATTTGTAAAGCGGCAACGTGTGCAGGGCGACTCAGTGCGTCTGCCTTGTTCTTGTGCCCCGGCTTATACACGATGTCGTAATGGAAGTGGGTTTCGAGAAAGTCAATCCACCGGACCTGCCGCCTGGAGAGTGTTGGTTGGGTCTTCAGGTACTTGAGGCTGCAGTGGTCGGTGTAGACAGTCGTTTTTCTTCCTTCGAGATAACACCTCCATGCCTTAAATGCGTTGACGATGGCGAGGGCCTCTTTGTCATAGATGGGGTAATTGAGTTCTGCCCCGTGAAGTTTTTTACTGAGGTATGCAATGGGTTGTAGTCCCTTCCCTTGATCCTGCATGAGTACTGCGCCCACTGCTTGATCGCTAGCATCGGCCTCGATGACATAGTTAAGTTCAGTGTCTGGCAGGATAACAACAGGTGCGGACGTGAGTGCTGTTTTAAGTTGTTCCACGGCTTCCTGGTGCTTCGCCTCCCATTGATATGGTGTATTCTTCTTCAACAGGTTCGTTAATGGTGCGGCAATCTTGGCGTAGTTCGGTACGAACAGGTTGTAGTAGTTGGCGAATCCAAGAAACTGTTGTAACTCCTTCACGTTCTCAGGGGTCTTCTACGTTCGCACTGCTTCGATCTTCTTAGGATCCACGTAAACTCCTTGAGCGCTCACCATATGTCCAAGGAACTGGAGTTTTTTCAACGCAAACTCGCTCTTGGATAGTTTCACGTAGAAGCGTTCTCGTCGAAGAATTTCAAACACCCGTCGTAGATGCTCAACGTGCTGCTTCATATCTTTCGAGTAGATCAGGATATCGTCCAAATATACCACCACGCACTCGTCCAGAAGGGGCCGAAGGATGTGGTTCATTTCCGCCTGAAATGTGGCTGGTGCGTTAGTGAGTCCGAATGGCATCACGAGATACTCGTATGACCCGTACCGAGTTCGAAAAGCGGTTTTGTGGATAGAGTTGTCCGCCATACGAATTTGCCAGTATCCCGATCTGAGGTCGAGCTTGGAGAATACCGTAGCACCGCGAAGTTGATCGAGTAAGTCGTCGATCCGTGGTATCGGGTATTTATTTTTTACAGTCTGCTTGTTCAAGGCTCGGTAGTCGATGCACATTCGCAGACTTCCGTCTGGCTTCTGAGTGAAGAGAACTGGAGCTCCATACGGCGAAGTGGAAGGTCGAATCAGCCCTTTCTCCAGGAGATACTCTATTTGTTTTTTCATATCGGCAAGCTCTGTCGGGCTCAGCCGGTATGGTGCTCGAAATGTTGGCTTGGACCCCGGCTCTTCTACGATCTCGTGTTGATGTGTCCGGTATGGCGGTAGTTGATCAGGTAAATCGTCGGGGAGAACGTCCTGGAACTCTTCAAGGATTTTCTTGACTGCTGGAGGAAGTTCCTGGGTCTGCTTCTCTCCGTTGTCTGCCTCGTTGACTATCGCCATGAATCCCGCCGTGGTCCGTTTGACGTCCTTTTCAAAGCGTGCGAGTGTCTCGACTGGAATATTTCCCGTGTCGTCCCATTTGGGAAGGCTGATTTTCCTCCCGTTGTTGTTGATGTTGGCCGTCTGGTTAACCCAGTTGATCTCGGGGTTGAACTTTTTAAGAAAGTCTCTCCCGAAGATTATGTCGAGTCCTTTGATATTTGTGACGGGGAGAGCAGGCTTCCATCGAAGGGGTCCAATCTGGAGTAGCAACCGTGTTTCCCCGTAGATAGGTAGCTTACTGCCATCCACCATCGTTGCAGAGAAGCTTGAGGACTTGATGTCACTTCCGAGTCGATCGATTGCCTTTTTGTCATAGACGCTGTGCGACGCCCCGCTGTCCACGAGTGCTTGGAGGCGCTGTCCGTTGCAGATCACCTCGAGCAGGAGTGGTGAGCGTTGCTCGGAGTACCCAAAAATAGTCTCATTAATAGGATCATAGGGTACATCCCAATATTCAGTACACACCGTGGTTCCACTGCTTTCTTCTGGACAACTAGCTGGCCTGGGCTGCAAAGAGAAAGGCTCTTCTCCAACGCCTGGAGTAGAGGTAATAACCGTACAAGTTGACCCTGAGGGGGTGGATCCGGTCGACGCCTGCGATCCACTGGATGCATCCTGGAGGGGTTTTCGGAGTTTCTGCAGCTTCTTTTGAACTCCCAGCTGCCTCTTCAGCTGCTTCAGCTCCATAGACTTCTTCCCTGGGGAGTGGAGAGTCGTCTTGGGCTGGTTTCGGGAGAGGACGTTGACGCCGTGAAAAGGTCTACTCCTTTCCACACTCCTTAATTTCTTCCCCAGCTCCGTAGGCACCGGTACCACTTCTTTAATTGTTTGCTTCCTCTGTAGTTCTTCCCGGAATTTGTTTATGGCTCCGGACCCGCAAAAATCGCCAGTCTTCATTAAAGCATCTTTGAAAGATAACTTTAACGAATTCTGTTTTTTTCCGGGGTCGAATTGGAGAGTTCCCGTCTTGGTCGAGTCTGTTTTCGCGGAGGTTTTCTTTTCCTCGGCGAATTCCTCTGACAAATTTCGGTCAAGGGGCTTGGGATTTCGCCCTTGATTCTCCAAATCTCGCGCCCAATGCTGTCCTTCAATTTCGATTCGGTCCAGATTGCGCTGACGCTTTCGGATCTGTTTTTTCTCGCCAGCACGATCCGTAATCACTGGCGAGATCCGTTTTTTGACTTTTTGTCTTTAGTTTCGCCACTCCCACGAGCTCGGAATGCCGCACGTGCTGATTTCATGTGAAAACAGCCGACGATGCGGTGTCCGTTTCCGCCGCAAAATTTGTGGGGTGTTTTGTTTTTTGCAGGACGTGAACTCGCGTCGAATTTGTCGACTTCCATGGGGTCGGCGAACGTGGTTGAAGCCGAGCGATCCCCTTGTCGTGATCCGACGACGTGGGGTCGTCGTGTCCCGGAGTTGACCAAGTCAAAACGCTCCGCGGCCGATACGATTTCGCTGTAGCTGCTGCAATTCGCTGCTGCAACCTGGCGCCGAATGTCGGTTTTCAGCCCCGCGAGGTAGGACTGATTTTTTTCGCCCTCGGTAATGTCAGGAATGCGATTATAAAATTCCTCCATCTGCTGCGTGTATTGCGCGACACTCCCGTATTTCCTATGGTGATGTAATTTTTCGCGCGCAATATATGTGGAATTAATCGGCTCAAAACGTTTGAGAAGGTCTGCCCGGAACTGCTGCCACGTGGCTTCGCCCTGGAAAATGTTACTGTTGCTTCCGAGCCACTCGAGAGCTGGACCGCGCATCAACGTTGTCGCGAGACGAATTTTCTCGCCGTCATACTCCGTCGTCGTCCATCCGATCGCCGCGAAATAAATTTCCATCGTCGCGAGCCACCGCCTGATGTCGGATTTTCGATCGCTAGGGTCGAACGATTCCGGCGAGCGAAGTTTCGGAACCTCGAACTGACGCTGCGGCTGCTGCGAAGTCGTCGAAGCAGGAATGTTCATGGTCGAGAGGAGCCGCGTAACGCGCTGCAGTTCGTTTCGCATCTGCTCGTTCTCCAATCGCGACCGTTCAGTCGTCGCTCGCATCTCCGCTTCCATCTTGGCGATTTGCGCGAAGAGCTGCTGCGTAACGTCGTTGGTCGCCGGCGAACCCATCCTGTTCAAAAACCACGCAAGGGGGTTAATTCGAAAAGCGCGGAACTGGTACTTACCAGAAATCGGCGTCGAATTGGTCGCCCCCGGCGGTTTTTCGAGGCGATTTTTTCCGCGACCGCTGCTTAGCCGAGAGTTGTCGAGTGAGAACGGCTCTGATTACCAAGTGTCACAGGATCGAATTCTCAATCGAAACTTGTCACTAAAACTGAATACAAGGCCTATTTATACTCGGAAAGTACAAGGATAAACGAGATAAAACGAACCTTCGGGAACACACCCTTCCCGATACTACAATCACAAGTGCGCATAAGCACGCAAGTCTATTGGCACTTGGGATTATGCCCAGATTACACCGTATACACCACTGTCGGCGCTGTCGGTGCCGTATAATAGGTATGTCGGTGGGAAAAGTAGGAAATATGAGAAATAAATAGAAGGCTCTAGAAAATAGAATAGTAGGCCGATTGAGATGAGATAAAGACCAAAATAAAGAGGAGAAAAGGGAGAATGGGATAACGGAAAAATATAATAGTGAGAAAATATTATAACGGGGACGTCCTCTCACACTATCCCCAACTAAACAATTGGGAAATAGGATTGCTTCCTTCTAAACTCACCCTCCAGGATTTGTTACATCTCCTAGCACTCCTGGGACTTAATCATTTCCAGAAGCTGTTACTCTCTGGTTCTATTAGAACCTATTGGTATTTGGGTAAATGCCCTTTTACTTAGCAGATCCGTTACACTTGGCGAGTCAGCGGGTGAAGAAAATGCATGCGAAACCTTCCGCCAACAAAGACTCCGCGGGCGCTGTCTTTGAGTCCGCCACCGCGGCTCCGCTGCCTCAACTTCTGCCGGTGCGGTTCAACCAGGATAACATGAGCTTCACGTACGCGACGCAAAGCGGCTTTTGCGAGTTTTGCTGCGACCCGCTGAAGGAGGCGATTCAGCGGCGCTAGTTTGAGAGGCGCGGCGTGGGCATGGTGGAGATGGAGTCTTGCTACCACCTATTTGCGCTCGTGGGCGACGGTCCCAACCCTTGCTACCCGCCCAACAAGGTGCGGTGGGGAGAAGAGACAGGTGAGGTGATTCGGGTACCTGATCAAGGAAAAGAAGGTGTGGCAAGGGAGGAAGGGAGGTGAGCGGAGGAAGGGGGATGAGGGGGTGAGAGGAGGTGAGGAGATGAGGGGAGGTAAGGGGAGGTGAGTGGGAGAGGGGAGGTGAGAGGAGGAGGGGATGTGAGGGGAGATGAGGGGAGGAAGGGAGGTGAAGGGAGGAGGGCAGGGGAGGGGAGGAAGGGAGGTGAAGGGAGGAGGGGACGGGAGGAGGGGGAAGGGAGGTGAAGGGGGGTGGAGGGAGGGTGAGGGGACATGAGGGGAGGTGAGGGGGGAGGTAAGAGGAGAGGTGAAAGGGGAGGTGAGGAAGGTGACGAGAGAGGGAGTGAGAATAAGGCATGGGGAAATGGGGCGATAGTCACACCCGGTGCACCTACAAATGGGTTCCTTGCAATTCTTGTTCTTCTGTGTCGTTCCCTCTTCCCCCCAACCCCCCTTTTACCCGATGACCTGTGAGGAATGTTAGTGTTAGCCCTCAATCTCACACTTTGTGCTATATATTTTTCTATATCCTAGAGTAGTGTAGTTTGCACTTTGTGTTTGGTTGGGTGTACACCTACATCCCAACCAAACCCAAATGTAATCTCCAAGCAATCTCCAACCCACCAATTGGAGATTGCCTTGGGATTACCTCCAATCCCTAGGGATTGCCCCCGATTCCCTTTCCCATCCATTCCTTGCCCTTCTTGGATGTACTTAAAGCGCTTCAAGCTCATTACTAATGTATCAGTTCTAAGCTTAAGTTATGACATGGTATCAGAGCCCTTCAACCGCACACGCAGATCCTGATCCTCCTATCTTTGCGGATGCTCGTCCCGCAAAGCTCGGCATAGCCACCTTCAATCTCGTCGCCGGTGATTCGCGACATTCGTCGGTGCAAATTTTCCCGCACCACCTTCCCGTCAACTTCAAGACATCTACTATCTTCCTTGTGAGCATATTGTCGGCGCCATAACCTATCGCTCCTTTTTGTCAAACATCATCGCGTCATCTCTTCTCCTCGTCGAGCAGTCGCCCGTCGCCCCGCAGCTTCTCGTCAGGCCGCCGCCCGCCGCCCTGCAGCGCCACCTTCAAGCTGCCGCCCGTCGCCCCGCATCTGCACTTCTACCCCCATACCCCTCCCGCAGCTAAACAGGTGCAGCAGCTGTGAGAATTGAAACGAGAAGCGTCTGCGTGCCCAGTGAGGACCACTGGACTCTACCCTCCAAGCACAAGCCCCATGCCCGACGTACTGCACAAGTAGCGCAACACCCTCTTCGCTGCAGCCATATGCTCCGGTCTGTGTCTCCCAGGAGCAACATAGCGTGCGAGAATGCTAAGAGGGTATGCAAGGTCAGGTCGAGTGCAGGTCATCAGGTACATGAGGCAGCCAACAAGCTCTGGGTACGGGCCACTCGACTCTACGGACTCATCCGAAGGCGGAGCTGAGAGCGAGTGGCGAGTAGGCAGAGGAGTGGCCTGAGGCAAGGAGTACGTGAAGCCGAAGCGCTGAAGGACCTGCTGCACCATGTGTGACTGAGTCAGGGTAATGGTGCGGCGTGCTCTGTCCCGGGTGATTTGCAAGCCAAGGTAGCTGCGCAGTTCACCCAGGTCTGTACACGTGTGTCTCTTTTGCAGCTCGGACTTCACGTGGGCGAGTCTAGCAGTGTGAGCTGTGGCAAAGACCAAGTCGTCAACGTACACGAGGATGTAGAACGGCGGCAAAGAAGTGTCAGTGCGCAGAAACAGCGACGGGTCGACAGTAGAGGGAGCAAACCCAAGAGCCCCAAGTGTAGTCCTCAGTGTGTCGTGCCACTCACGCGGTGCCTGGCGGAGACCGTAAACTGGCCGCCGGAGGCTCCACTGGGTGCCAGGAGGAAAAGACCCAGTGAAGCCCGGTGGGCGGCGCAGCCAGATCTCCTCGTGCAGGCTGCCCTGCAGGAAAGCAGTGCTGAAGTCAAGAGAGTGAAGTTCGTAGTCACGGTGAGCAGCTATGTGCAGCAGTACCCAAAGAGTGGTCATCTTCGGGGTGGGAGAGAAGGTCTGAAAGTAGTCAACTCCCTGCCGCTGACTGAAGCCACGAGCCATGTACCGCGCCTTGAAGACAGGCGGAGAACCCGGCGGCTGCTTCACCCTGAAAATCCACATGCCACTGACGATGTTCGCCCCAGGCGGGGGAACCTCGTCAACGTAGGTGCCTGTGGACTTGCAGGAAGCCATCTCTGTATCCATAGCTGCCTGCCAGTGAGAGGAGTAGGGACCCTCTATCGCCTCCGCGTAAGAGCGCGGAGTCGGGATGTCAAGTGCATCCGGGTCTCCCTCAGGGGTAAGCAGTTCGGACACGAGATGAGATGAAGCAGCAGCCAGACACTGGAACTCCTCCTGCCTGTCGTCAAGGACGTCCCTGCCAAGGGCACACTCAGCCCTGATGGACAGAGGACAGACAGACTCAGACTCAGCGACAAGACTAGCAGCGTAGTCAAGGCGATAGCGAGCAGCAAAATCGACGAGCTCAGCAACTAGGGCAGATGCAGCAGTGGACTCAAAGGAAGGGTAAGTGACGACAGTAGCAAGAAGACGCGTGACAGAAGGACTGGCAGCACGAAGAGAGTCCGACTCCGGGTCGGCAAGAGCAGGAAGAGAGGACTAAGGAGGAGAAGGCAAAGGGGCACGCACAGGAGCAGTGGACGAATGCAGAGACATCCGGTGCGTGCCAGGGATAGGAGGAGGACGATGACGCGAACCACGACCACTAGTGCGAGCAGGACAGATAGACGACGCAGGGCGAGACGCAGGCTCACGACGCTCAGCAAGACCTCCAGTAGGACCAGTGTAGGGAGAAGGAGCAGGCAGTGGGGAGGACGGCTGTAACTATAACTGTGATAGGACAGGCTGTGGACACTCTAAGGGAGGAGGACCAGTAGAAGGCGGGAAACCAAGAACTTGCTGTAGGAGCGGAACGAAGTACGGCCGAGGCCGCGCGGCAACTCTAGACACAGCACGGAGAGCACCAGCACCCCCAGCGGCAGCACCACCGCCAGGAGCACCTCCAGCTCCAGTACCTCCAGCAGCACCAGTAGTACCCCCAGCAGGACCGCCTCCAGGACCCACAGCAGTAGCCTCAGCGCCAACACCCTCAGTAGCTCCAGCTCTAGTCGCACCAGTAGGCCCAGCAGCTACAGTACTCCCAGCACGAGCACCTCTGGGACCCGCGGCACCAGCACCCTCAGCAGCCGGAGAACCTCGAGCTACAGCAGCACGCCTCGAGCGCCGGGCAAACCACTCACGCAGCTTCTGTGGAGAGAGGGGCTCCCGTCGCAAAGAAGCACCCGGACAACATCCACGCCCAGCACCGCCAGACGCCACACGAGTAGGCCCAACTCCCTCAGGCTCCGCACCTCCAGGCTCGGCACCTCTAGGCGTAGCACCCCCAGAGTCAGTACCCCCAGGCTCAGCACCCCCAGTCGCAACACCCCCAAGCTCAGCACCCCTAGGCTCAGCACCCCCAGTCGCAGCACCCCCAGGCTCAGCACCCCCAGTAGTAGCACCCACAGGCTCAGCACCCCCAGGCGCAGCACTCACACGCTCAGCACCCCCAGAGTCAGCACCCCCAGGCTCAGCACCCACAGCAGCACTAGAGTCACCAGTAACCTCGATAGGCTCGACTGCGTCTACCTGGGACACACCTGAAGGGGCAGGACCCTGAGGGGGGAGGGGGTCTACCGGGGGGGGACCTGGTACAAGGAAGAGCGGCGGCGGGGGGAGGGACGGAGTGCGGTAGGGGAAGGGGCGGTAGTAGGGGACCGACTCGTCAAACGTGACGTCTTGGGAGGACAGTACACGGCGAGAGGTGGGGTGGTAGAACTGCCACCCTGGCGCGTCAGGGGAGAAGCCGAGGAAGACGCAAGGAGCAGCACGAGGGGACAGCTTGTCCGCAGACAAGTCGCGAACAAACGCCCGAGATCCCCAGACACGGAACGCACACGCATCGCCAACCTTCCCCGTCCATAGCAAAGCTGGGGAGGTCTTCGGCATGGAGACCCTAGGGTGAAGGTTGATCTGATGCGCCGCGTACTGAACCGCAAACGGGCACAGAAAATGGGGGGCAGCCGCATGCATCATGGACGTACGAACGACATCCATGACCATGCCAATGCGGCGCTCAGCAATCCCATTTTGCTGTGGAGAGTCCGAAAGCGTGAAGGTCTTGCGGATGCCTCGTGCACAACAGTAGGCTCGCAGAAGACCAGTGGAGAACTCTCCACCTCTGTCAGAGTGCAGACGAAGAACACGAAAGTCCGAGCCGAAGCTCTGCCTGAGCTAGAGACGAGCTGCGCGGATCCAGTCGATCAACACCGCAGTGACATCACCCTTGCTGCGCAAGGGGAAGACTGTGGTGTAACGCGAGTTGTCGTCAACCACCAGCAGGAAGTAGCGCTCGTGACCCTGTCCACGGACGCGGGCCGGGCCCCACACGTCCATGTGAAGCGTCTGCAGCGGGGCCTCTGTCGGAGGAAACTGGGAGGAGTGAGGGGCAGCCCGCTGCCGCCCCTCGACACAGGGGACGCAGCTAGGGCCAGGCCCTGAAGGAAGGGGAGGGAGGGACCGAGGAAGACCAGAGACAAGGACAGGGGAGGCCATGCCTCGGAGACGAAGCAGGGAGGGGTGACCAAGGCGGTGGTGCCAGAGGAGAGTCTCGTGAGACAGGAGGCGACACGAGCAGGGGGCAGACTCAGAACTAGACCTGGACGCAGCAGCAAACACCTGACCCGACGCAGCTACCTGACCAGACGGAGTGACTGGAGGAGACGAAGTGGTCAGTGTGTACAGGCTCGACCCCGGCCGACGTGTAAACGTGGCCAGGTGTCGGCCTGTCCGAGCGTCCGTGCAGTGGGTCACCCGCTGGCTCGCAGGAGTGAATTGGTGAACCCCTGCATCCTGTAGGTCAGCACCACTCACCAAGTTCGTAGAGAACGAGGGGAGGTAAAGACCAGACAGGGTGCCAGAGGGGGCCGCTGGACACGGGAGGACAGTGGAGTAGTGAGCAAGGACAGGACCCCCAGAGGGGTCTGCCAGAGAGACTGCAACTGGCCGGCCAAGTGGCGTGAGTGTGGTGCGGTCTCGAAAGAAGGAGCGAGAAGCCCCCGAGTGGAGGGTGAAGGTGTGGGAGGCCGAAGCCGACGCAGTACCTGAGAGAGCAGACTCACCAGCACCTGAGGGAGCAGACGCACGAGCACCTAGAGCAGCAGCCTCGCTAGCACCTAGAGCAGCACCTTCACCAGTACCTAGAGCAGCAGTCTCAATGGGCGGGTCGGGCAGAAAACACCGGTCACAGTCACCCTCATCACTAATAGTCACAGC